CCGATTATCCCCAGAGGGGTCCCAGATTGGAGAGGGTGCAGGCTGGGCTGAGGGACACTCCTCCTCCCCCCCCCCCCGTGCACAAATTTCATGCACCAGGCCTCTAGTTATTACAATATTATTGGCTATATTCCCTATGCTGTACTTTGCATCCCTCTAACTATTGTGTAACTACCAATTTGTACTTCTTAAACTTTTTTTTGTTTGTTAATCCTTACCCAAGGATATTTTTTCCATTGATTCCCAGAGAGAGTGGAAGGGAAGGGGGAGAGACAGATAACAGAAACATCAAGTCAGAGAGACACATCAATTAGTTGCCTCCTGCACATGCCCTGACTGGGCCCAGGAATTGAGCCTGCAACCAAGATTCATGCCCTTGATCAGAATTGAACCTGAGACCCTTAAGTCTGTGGGCTGACACTCTAACCATTAAGCAAACTGGCTAGGGCAATCCCTTCATTTCCCCACCCCCTCCCATCTGACAACCATTAAAATGTTCTCTGTATTTATGAATCTATTTCAGGTCAGCTTGTTTATTTGTTTTTTTAGATTCTACAAATAAGTGAAATTATCTGGCATTTGTCTTTCTGTCTGATTTATTTCACTCAGTACAATACTCTCTAGATCAATTAATGTTGCAGATAGCAAGATTTTTATTCTTTTTTCTGGCTGAATCATATTCCATTGTATATATGCTCCACTTCTTTATTCATTCATCTATTGATGGCACTTAGGTTGCTTCCTTGTCTTGGCTATTGTAAACAATGCTGCAACGAACATAGGAATGTAGGCATACATCTTTTCAATTTAGTGTTTTGGGTGGAATTGCTGAGTCCTTCTTTGTCTTTAGTTATAGGCTTTGTTTTAAGGTTTATTTTGTGGTATAAGTATTGCTACCCCAGCTTTTTTCAGTTTGTTTGTTTCCACTTTCATGAAATATCTTTTTCCATACCTTTACTTTCAGTCTGTTTGTGTCTTTTGATCTGAAGTGAGTCTCCCTTGGACAGCATATGCAAGGGTCTTGTTTTGGTATCCATATGTCTTTTAATTGGATCATTTAATCCATTTGCATTTAAAGTAATTGTTGATACATATATAGTTATTGCTACTTTATTATTCATATTTTGATCTTTTTTGTCTTCTTCTTCTTAAAAAATATCCTTCAACATTTCATGTAATACTGGTTTGGTGGTGATGAACTTCCTTTAGCTTTTCTTGTCTGTGAAGCTCTTTATCTGACCTTCAATTCTAAATGATAGCTTTGCTGGGTAGAATAATCTTGGTTGTAGGTCCTTGCTTTTCATCATTTTGAATATTTCTTGTCACTCCCTTCTGGCCTGCAAATTTCTGTTGAGAAATAAGCTGACAGTCTTATGGGAGCTCCCTTGTAGGTAACTAACTGCTTTTCTCTTCCTGCTTTTAAGAGTTTTTCTTTGTCTTTAATCTTTTTTTTTAAAACAATTTAAATTTTTTAAAAATATGTATTTTATTGATTTTTTACAGAGAGGAAGGGAGAGGGATAGAGAGTTAGAAACATCGATGAGAGAGAAACATTGATCAGCTGCCTCCTGCACACTCCCTTACTGGGGATGTGCCTGCAACCAAGGTACATGCCCTTGACCAGAATCAAACCTGGGACCCTTCAGTCTGCAGGCCGATGCTCTATCCACTGAGCCAAACCAGTTAGGGCTCTTTGTCTTTAATCTTTTGCATTTTAATTATGATGTGTCTTGGTGTGGGCCTCTTTGGGTTCATCTTGTTTGGGACTCTGCACTTTCTGGACTTGTGAGTCTTTTTCTTTCACCAGGTTAGGAAAGTTTTTCATCATTATTTTTTCAAATAGGTTTTCAATTTCTTACTCTCTCTCTTTCTTTCCTGTACTCCCATGATGCCAATGTTGGTACTCTTGAAGTTATCCTAGATGTTCCTTACACTGTCCTCATTTTTTGGCTTTTTTTTTTCTTTTTGTAGTTCTGATTGGGTGTTTTCTGCTACTTATCTTCCAAATCACTGATTTGATCCTCTTCTCCACATACTCTACTGTTGATTCCCTGTAATGTATTCTTCATTTCAATTCATGTATTTTTCATTTCTGACTGGTTATTTTTTATGTTTTCTAGTTCTGTTTTTATGTTTCTCATCTCTTTGTTGAAGTTCTAAGTTCCTCTACTCTTCCCCTAATTTCATTGAGTATCCTTATAACCAGTGTTTTGAACTTTGCATCTGGTAGATTGCTTGTCTCCATTTTGTTAAGTTGTTTTCTGGAGTTTTGCTCTGTTCTTTCATTTGGGACATGTTTCTTTGTCTCCACCTTTTGGCAGCCTCCCTGTGTTTGTTTCTATGTATTATGTAGAGCTTCTACATCTCCTGGGCTTGGTAGAGTGGCCTTGTGTAGTAGGTGTTCTAGAGGGTCCAGTGGCACAGCCGCCCTGGTCACCTGAGCTGGGTGCTCCAGGTGCACCCTGTGTGGGCTGTGTGCATCCTCCTGTGGTAGTTGAGCCTTAATTGCTGTTGGTATGTTAATGGGAGGGATTTGCCCCTAGGCCTGTGGTCAGCAGACTGCGGCTCAGCTCGCGAGCCACATGCAGCTTTTTGGCCCCTTGAGTGTGGCTCTTCCTAAGCCTTAGGAGTACCCTAATTAAGTTACTAACAATGTACCTACATATATAGTTTAAGTTTAAAAAATTTGGCTCTCAAAATAAATTTAGGTCGTTGTACTGTTGATATTTGGCTCTGTTGGCTAATGAATTTGCCGACCACTGCCCTAGGCTGATCGGCTGTGAGAACTGGCTGGCTGTGTGGACTGGCCACTAGGAGGACTGGCCAGGACCACTGTGGAGGATCTGCTATGCAAGGGCCAACCCCACGGTGCAGGGCTCAGGTACCCGCCAAGTCCACGTCTGAGTGTGTCGCTTATGGAGGTGTTGATTGGTGCTTCAGCGTGCTCCGAGGCTGTCCATCAGGTGCGCTAGCTCTGGAGTCACACAGCAAGTGCATGCCAAAGTCAGCCACTACTTGTACCCTCCTGGGGCCTCCTGGCATGAGCCACAAAGCCATCAGCAGATGGCTGCTATTTATGCTGGGCTTGGAGGTGCCTAGGAGAAGCCAAGCCATGAACCAAGGCCTGCTGTTGCTAGTACGGGGCCTGGGGCTACTTAGCAAGAGGTACAGGTCACACTGAGCCAGATGCTGTTTATATGGAAAAGCCACTGGAAAGGGCCTGGGTGGGTCTGAAAGTTGGGTGGGGTTTCAGGGAATCACCAGGGCAGGGAGAACAGAGTAGCCAGGTTGAGGGCGTCTCAGATATGGTGCCTGCCAGCCTGCTCTGTTGGGGGAGGGCTCAGCAAAGGAACAATGGCCTCGGCCAGCACTTCTGTCTGGGAAAAAGCTGCCCCTCCAGCCCTGGCCCTGATGCCAGACACTTCAGTCCTTCCCATGTGTCCCTGGGGCCTTTCCAGCTGCTGCCCCACTGCCGGAATTCTGAGCAAGTGAGTCTGTGTAAGTCAGTGCATGGGCCCTTCAGCAGCACTCCGTCTCATTCAGCCACAATCCTTGCTAGTTTTTACAGGCAGAAGTTATGGGAAGTTCTCTTCCTGGCACTGGAACTCTGGGCTGGGGGGCCTGGTGTGGGGCTGAGACCCCTCACTCCTCAAGGCGGAGCTCTGTAGCCGATATATCCTTCCCCATTTTTAACCACCACACGTGGGTGTGGGACCAGCCTGTTCTACCTCTCTGCCTCTCCTACCAGACTCTATGTGTCTTCTTCGTTATATCCTAAGTTATATTACTTCTGTTCAGATAGACTTTAGGTGGTTCTGAATGATGGTTGTTCTGTAGTTTTGTTATAATTATGATGTGGTTATAATTTTGATGTGAAACAGTAATTTTAAAGTCTTACCCAAACCTTGTAAACGGTGATGGAGATTTCAGTTAGTTTCAATCTCTTGCTCATACAATGAATGGTGCAATGACTAATGTTGTAAAAATGTCTTTAAAAAAAATAAGTGTATTGAGGTATAATTTGCTATATAATGCACTCATTTTAAGTGACCTCACCTGTTCTTAGTAATTTTTATCAAATTTATCCACTTAAGAATATCTAGATTAAAAAAAAAATTAGTTGGTTCAGAAAACCAAATAATGCCTGGGCCCTGTTTTCCTGATTGAAACTTCTGATTGATTGATTGGTTGATTGAAAAGCTAATATAGATCAGTGGTTCTTAACTAAGAGTGATTTTGCCCCTAAGGGGACACTTGCAATATCTGGAGATAATTTTGGTTGTCACAATGGGGATACTGCTAACCTCTGGTGACTAGAGGCCAGGGAGGCTGCTCAAAACCCTACAAAGCACAGGACAGTACTCTCACCATAAGAATTACCTAGACCAAATGTTTTTGTCTTTTTAAATCATTATGGTTGAAAGTATTACATATGTCCCCCTCTCCCCCCATCTACCCCCTCCAGATCCCCACCCTCTCACTGCCCACCCCAGGCCCTCACCGCCCCACTGTCTGCATCCATGGGTTATGCATTTATGTATACAAGTAGACCAAAATGTTAATAGTGTGGATGTTGAGAAACATTTATATAGAAATCTTATATAATAAAGAGGTAATATGCAAATTGACCATCACACCCTTGCACAAGATGGCCACCCCCATATGGTCAAAGATGGCTGCCCCATGTGTTCACAAGATGGCCACCACAAGATGGCCAGCAGGGGAGGGCACTTGTGGGTGATCAGGCCAGCAGGGGAGGGCAGTTGGGGGCAACCGGGCCTGCAGGGGAGGGCAGTTGGGGGCAATCGGGCCAGCAGGGGAGCAGTTAGGTGTCGATCAGGCTGGCAGGGGAGTGGTTAGGGGGTGATCAGGCTGGCAGGCAGAAGCAGTTAGGGGCAATCAGGCAGGCAGGCAGGCGAGAGGTTGTGAGCCAGCAGTCCCAGTTTGTGAGAGGGATGTCCGACTGCCCCTGTGGGATCGAGCCTAAACTGGCAGTTGGACATCCCCTGCGGGGTCCCAGATTGGAAAGGGTGCAGGCTGGGCTGAGGGACACCCCCCCCCCCAACCCATTGCATGAATTTCATGCACTGGGCCTCTAGTAAGATTAATATTCAGCATTCCTCTTCTGAAAGGATTTAAAGATATACACAGCTTTCATATTTTTTTAGGTCAAGAAAATTTGCACTAGCCCCTGTGTTTTTAGAAATGGGCCTCCACAATCAGGCTGCACCCCACCCCTGGTCTTCATAGCTGCTTGGGGAAAGGAGACAGACTTGGCACAGTGGGAGGGCAGGGAATGCGAAGGCACTGCCTTGGAAATGGTGTAGGACACAGCTCCTCGGAGTCCTGAGCTCAGTTTCTCCTCAGTTGGTTTCCTTGAAGGTGGCTGTATTGGTCATCTTCCCGATCCTTGAGGGGCTAAAAGGACAGCATAGTCATAAGCGCAATTCCCCTATCCTTCATGAATTAGTAAGATGCAGATGTATTGAGTGCTTTTTATGTGCAAGGCTTTGAAGTGGGTGCTTTGTGATCCTGGGGGCAGAAAGAGGACGAGCAGATGGAGGCTTTTCCTCTCGGTGTGTTCTTTGGTTTTGCTCACTAGATCCTGAGCTCAGCCTCTCTCAATCCTTCTCCTTATTTCATCCTTTCCACCCAGAGGGATAACTATGCGATCATCTGGCATGTCCTAAGCAGTTTCTTATCTATCTAGTATCTTCCAAATAACTTGCCCCCACCCCCATTTCAAAATGTTAAACCACCACTAATTGTAGCAATGTTTGTCATTCCTTATTCCCTTACCTGGTAGAGCTGGTCATTGGACAACAGGGTCTGCTTGTCTGAAGCTGCACAAAAGATAAACAAAACACACACACACACACACACACGAGAGAGGATGATAAATTGGGTTATAGTCACACAATGGAATACTAAATAGCAATAAGAATTAGTGAAATACACCTACATATAAGAATATGAGTGGATGCCTGGCTGGTGTGGCTCAGTGGTTGAGCATCAACCTATGAACCAGAAGGTCATGGTTCGATTCTTGGTCAGGGTACATGCCCAGGTTATGGGCTCCATCCTCATGAAGGGTGTGCAGGAGGCAGCCAATCAATGATTCTCTCTCATCATTAATGTTTCTCTCTCTCTCTCCCTCTCCCTTCTTCTCTGAAGTCAATAAAAACATATATATATATATATATATATATGAATATGAGTGGATATCACAAGCACATTATTGAGTAAAAGAAGTCACACACAGTAGTACTTACTGTATGAGTCCATTTACATAAGGCACAAGAACAGACAAAATTAATCAATGTTGTAAGTCTGCATAGTGCTCACTTTTGGGGATAGGGAGAGTCTGCAAGTGACCACAAGGGGGACTTCTAAGATGTTGGTGATGTTCTTTCTTAAACTGGGTGCTGGATTCATGGGTGTGCTTACTTTATTAAATCGTATTGAGCTGTTTGCTTGTGATTCATGCCCTTTTTTGTATGTAGGTTTTACTTCAATAAAGAGTTTTCTAGAACCACAGAGGATGACTCAGGGGAGTTGGATTGAGACAGGTAAATATGCTGTGAAAACACTAGCGTCCCTTCTGGCCACAGAGAGAGCCTCACCAGCAGGTGCCAACAACGTAGCCTCTTCTCTTGGGGCTTTTTTGGTTGGAAGAAAGCTGAGGGCCCCAGGTGGTCTCATATTTCATCTAAAAACATTCTTTTACCTCTTGATTGGCGAACTCCATCCTGCCCAGCAATGAAGTACACCCCAACAGCAAGGAAGAAAATGCTGAAGATCTCGGCGAAGACAAAGCCAGACACAGTGGATGCATTCAGCTCAATGCAGTTCTGACACACTGTGAGGAAAGGAGAGATGAGTCTGCTTCAGGGTGTGAAAGTTGTTTTTCTGGATCTTTCTCCCCTGTCTACCAACAATATGCCTTTGTCTAGCTAAGGCACCAGACTGCTCCCTCTGTGGGCTGTATGGCAAGGGAATGGCCCGGGAAGATCCTTGGACTAAGAATGCAATGCTTCTTGATGTTCCTCTCTCTTCCCAAAGTCCTGGAGAAGCCCATGTAGTCTTATTGCGGGGAACTATATGAAACAGGAGAAAGACCAGATCCCCTTCTCTGTGCTCAGTTACCTTCGACATCTTACTGCTGCTCACTGTGTCATCTCTTGTCTCCCCTACCCACCCTAACTTAGTTTATACAAATTGCTAACTGCTCCAATCCAGGGGGCCCACACAAAGGTAAGCCAGTCTTTGGGGACTGGCTGTGTTTTACCAAGAAGATGGTGGAGCCCTCACTGGTTTGGCTCAGTGGATAGAGTGTCGACCTGCAGACTGAAGCATCCCGGGTTCAATTCTGGTCAAGGGCACAGGCCTGGGTTGAGAGCTTGGTCCCCAGTAGGGGGTGTGCAGGAGGTAGTAGATCAATGATTTTCTCTCATCATTGATGTTTCTATCTCTCTCTCCCGCTCCCTTCCTCTCTGAAATCAATAAAAATATATTTAAAAAAAAAGAAGCTGGGGGAACTGTCTTGTTATTTTCAAAGAGAGGCAAGCTGAGATGAAGAGAACTGGATGTTTAGCATCCATTTTATCACTCTTCAGTATCTACTTTTCACTCATTCCGTACAGAAAATCACCAACAGCAAGTACAGCTTAATTTCACAGCAAGCAAACCAAAGGGGGTCACATACTTCTGTAATACACGTGGAGTGATTGCGAATTGTTCGCTGATCCTCGACACCAATATGTCCCTTGAGGGTCCTTCAAACTACTTCCCAGGTTCCATGTTTTTCCATTTGTAGTAACTACTTCCTTCCCATCTTTAAACCACTTGATATCTTTGCCTTCCAAGTTACAAGTCAGAAGTACTGAACCATCTTCTTGATTGTCATTCACTGTTATCAAATGGTTTCCTGAAAAGGGAAAAGCCGTGGTCTGTTAAAGATCTTGCCTCGAGGGAAGGCCGGGGAGGGTTGGGGGGCAGGAGGGAGGGGGGTAAGAGATCAACCGAAGGACATGTATGCATGCATATAAGCATAACCAATGGACATAAGACACTGGGGGGTAGGGGAGGCCAGGGGATTGTCAAGGGCGGGGGGGAGAAAAAAGGACACATATGTAATACCCTTTGTAATACTTTAAGCAATAAAAAAAAAAAGATCTTGCCTCTGACATTCTTTCTACCCCAGGGTAACAGAAGAAGACCGCGTTATCGCAGTCTTCTCAAACATCAATTTGTACATGAAGCACATGGGGATCTAGTTAGAACTTCAGGTTCTAAGTGAGTAGTTCTGGGGAGGGGCTGAGATTCTACAGTTCTCCCAGATGATGTCTATGCGGTTGGTTCATGGGTAACATTTTGAGTAGCGCCTACCTCCTCCAAGAATCAGACAATTAATTGCTGGTCATGACTGGCCACTGATTTGGTTGACAATGGAGAAGTTTGTTACTTATCACTATCTCATCTAGAACTACTGTTTTAGGAAGGCATATTTCCATGAATTTCCTCAGAGTTTCAGCAGAGAAAGAAGCCATTTCCTTACCTTGTTTCGACTGGGCAATTGTACCTGTAGGGACAGAAGAGAGACAGAGGATCAGCTGGGCATGGAGTTATTCAGATGCCCTGTGGTGTCATTTAGGTGGTCATTGCAGCCAAAATGAAGAGAGAAGCTAATCCCCAGGAGTAACATATCTATACCTATGTCCCTGGATTGTTAACCCGAGCCACCAAACTGAGTCCAGGGTGTGTGTAATGAAGAATTTATCGGGTCACTGTCATGAATTCCTGGGGAGAGTTTCTAAACCCTTGGAATTTAAGGAGTGCCTTTGTTATTCTTGGTGTGCCCTTGGGCAATAGGTGAGTTTACCACTATATGAATGAGATGATTCAGGAAAGGGTTGGTCAAGACCAACAAGGTGATTTGAGAATTGGAACTTTGAGCTCTAGGAGGGGAGGGGCACTGGAGATTGAGTTTAGTCCCTGGCCAACTATTCAATTATTCATGCCTACGTAATGAAACCCCAAGAAAAACTCAGTGGAGCTTCCTGGTTGAATACATCAGTGTGCCAGGAAGGGGATGTCTCCTGATTTCCCGGGAGAGGCACAGAGGCTCTGTGCTCAGGAACCTCCCGGATCCCATTCTATGTGTCTCTTCATGTAGCTGGTCCTGATTTCATTTTTTAGAATAAAACTGTAATAGTAAGTATAGTGTTTTTCTGAGTTCTATGAACTGTTACAGCAAATTGATAAACCTGAGGGGGTGGTGGGAACCCAGTTTGCCAGAAGTGTGGGTGTCCTGGAGATCCCTGAACTTGTGCTTGGCATTTAAAGTGAGGGAAGTCTTTCCCTAGCCAGCTCGGCTCAGTGGATAGCGTGTCGGCCTGCAGACCAAAGGGTCCCGGGTTTGATTCCGGTCAAGGGCACGTATGTTGGTTACAGGCTACTGCCCAGCCCAGGCTCAGGGCCCGTGCAGGAGGCAACCAATTATATGTTTCTCTCACATCAGTGTTTCTGTTTTTCCCTCTCTCTTCCACTCTGTCTAAAAATCAATGAAAAAATATCCTCGGATGGGGATTAACAACAACAAAACAAACAAACAAAAAATAAAGTGAGGGCAGTCTTGTTGGTGACTGCTCTTAACTCCTGGGGTTTGATGCTCCCTCTTAGCATCAGAGTTGTATTGCAGCATATGGAAGGGTGTCGTCTGCACAGGCTGGAACGCTGTCCCTTTAGCAGCTGAGGTCCTGGCAAGGCGTGAGTGTGCACGAGCTAAAGCCTTTCAGAGCTGAGTGACTGCTAAAACCTTCAGTTTTGATGACTTATTTCTTATAGAAACCCTGGATGTCCTATGGGAGTTAGCTGTTCAAGATCCCAAATCTGTCTCAAAACCTAGAGTAGTAGAGTTGTATGGTAGAACTACTACGGAGAACTAGCACTGGAGGTCAATCCAATTGGATTCAATACAAACATTTACTGGGCACTATTATGTTAAGCAGTGAGAAGGGAAAGGGTGGGGACGTGAAGAACTAGATGCTGCTTCCAAAGAGTTTACAATGAAGGGGAAAAATAAGCACATATGTAATTAATGTAATAAAACATAAATTATCATTTAGTATCTATAAGAATACACGTGAAAGGGGATAGAATCTATTGATTTTGCCCAACGGTGAGTGACAGGAAAGCTTAACAGAGAGGAATTCACGAGACAGAGAAAGGCATTCTGGAAAGAAAGGGTAGCTAAGCAAAGATACAGACCTGGAAAGGACCAGAGAGGTAGTATGGCTAGAAGGAAATAATGGGGCACGACTAGAAGTGTGATGGCCTGGGTGCCATGGCTCAGTTCATAGGAGTGTCAACCTAGGAACCAGGAGGTCACAGTTTGATTCCCGGTGAGGGCACATGCCCGGGTTGTGGGCTCCATCCCCAGTAGGAGATGTGTAGGAGGCAGCCCATCAATGATTCTCTCTCATCATTGATGTTTCTATCCCTCGCTTCCTTTCCCTTCCTCTCTGAAATCAATTAAAATATAATTAAAAAAGAAGAAATAAAAGAAAAAACAAAGTATGATGGAAGTAGTGGAAAGGAGTCAACTGTCTTAGGATGTTACACAAGGCTGAACTCTTCGTGACTGGTTCCCAGCACAGTGCCTGGAACATAACAAGAGCTTTATATTTGTTGAATAGATGCATAGGTGAATAAATGAGAACAAATTTAAAAATCAAGACAAACAGTTAGCAGGATTTCTCACTAGTTCTTCTCCCCAACCGCCTGCTCACTATGGGAGGGACGAAGAGGCCCCTTATTTTAACTCAGGTTCCACAGGAAAGAGGGTCTAACTGACTGCCAGCATCTTTTAATTTTGCTTATCTGAATCCTGCTTCCTTTTGGGACATGAGAGCGCATGTAGTCAAGTTTCCTGGGTTGAGTGCTGAGAGAATGAGCCCTGCGGGAGCAAGAATTGTCCGAGCTCACGCAGCGTATTGGGGGCTGGGCGCAGGCTTCTGTTGCTCAGCCTGGTGCTCCTTCTGCCTCACAGGGGCTCTACGCATTGCCCTTCCACCTGTGTCATCCTTCTCCACGCCCCTCAGAAATAATCACACACTCTCACTGTCCCCTTCATGACCCACTCAATCACCAGCAGGTGGCATTGTCTCCCTCAGTTTGTTGAGAACATAAATGCTGCCATGGCCCTTCCTCCTGCAGCTTTCTTCTGCAGGCCTACCTGTGGCGGAAGCCATCTGCACTTCCTCCCTTCTAGTCTAGAGGGTGAGGTTGCCTTTCCCTCTGTGCCATTGACCCCACTCTTGACTCCATCCTTTCAACATCAACTCCAGGACCTCTATTCACTATCTTCTCCTTCAGCCTAGAAACGTGCTTAAATTTCTTTCACACTCAAAAAAAATTTATTCTTAGACTCTGTTTCCCCCTATTTACCACTCAAACTATCCTTTCTTTTCTTCCAAACTTCTTTGAAGAATAGTCTATGGCCAGTGGTCGGCAAACTGCGGCTCTCGAGCCACATGCGGCTCTTTGGCCCCTTGAGTGTGGCTCTTCCTAAGCCTTAGGAGTACCCTAATTAAGTTAATAACAATGTACCTACCTATATAGTTTAAGTTTAAAAAATTTGGCTCTCAAAATAAATTTCAGTCGTTGTACTGTTGATATTTGGCTCTGTTGACTAATGAGTTTGCCGACCACTGGTCTATGCTTTCTTATCTTTATTATCTGCCCTACCCCTTCAACTCATTTCCATTTGACTTCTACTCACACTACCCCAAGGAAATGGTTCTAAATTATCCATGACCTTTATTTTGCCAAATCCCACAAACTTAAACTTATAAATATATTCTTTTTTAAAAAAATATATTTTATTGATTTCAGAGAGGAAAGGAGAGGGGGAGAGAGAAACATCAATGATGAGAGAGAATCATCGATCAGCTGCCTCCTGCACGCCCCCCACTGGGGATCGAGCCCGCAACCCAGGCATGTGCCCTTGGCTGGAATCGAACCCGGGACCCCTCAGTCTGTAGGCTGACGCTCTATCCACTGAGCCAAACCAGCTAGGGCTATAAATATATTCTTATATTAGTGGATCACTCTTTAAAATTTCATACTGTCAGTGACTTTCTCCTTTGGAAACTTTCTACTTCTTCGGTTTCCAGAGTATTGGAATCATCTGATTATTCCAGCTCTTTGATCATTCCCTTATCTCTTTCCAGAGATACTTTTTCTCTAACTGCCCCTTAAAGGTTGGTATCCTCACAGTTCTATCCTCAGCCCCCTCGTCCTCACATCTAACGAAGTACCTGTGTGATCCCCACAACTTTCACGGTGTTAGCTTCCCCATTGTGTGGAGAACCATCTCCAGTCCATAATGTAGGCATTGGCTCAGTCCACCCATTCCCAGTGGATATTTACAACTGAATATTCATACAGGCATCTTTTATTGTACCTAACGTTCAATCTGGAAACACTGAAACTTATTCATGTAATTAGTTTATGAGTTCTTTAGGCTTAATGAATTTTTCTTTTTTTTTTTTTTTTACAGAGAAGAAGTCCCTGTAGGGGAGGGAGGGAGAGAAAGAGAAGAAGAGAGATTGGTCAGTTGCCTCTGGCATGCGACCCAACTGGGGACTGAACTCCACAACCTAGGTATGTGCCCTGACTAGGAATTGAATCCACCACCTTTTGGTGTATGGGATGATGCTCTAAGCAACTGAGCCACGCCAGCCAGGGCAGGGCAGAAGGTTTTCATTTATCTTTATATCTTCCTGGTCTCTTACATAATAGGACCTCCCCCATCCTGGTTGACCAGTTGATGGACTGACGACTGAGTGGGTGCTTTACAGGTTTACTCCTCACCCCAGCGCTGATTTAAAAACACATACCTTTTCTTTTCAGGTTCCTGGCCTGTGCCCTTTCCGGCTACATTCAAACCTAAGATGGTGACATCCGGGTTTTCTCTCTAACAGCTAAGTTCTCTGATTTGATCCCTCAGGAGATGAGGACCCACCCCTCTCATGGGACACTGCTTCCTCTAACAGAGAATAGTAAGAGGCTTTATTTTTACTCTGCTTTCTCTGAACTCCAAGGTGATAGCCGAGGGAGGCTCAAGGTCATGGATCCCAATATTCTTGTCCCATGGTGGTGGCCTTGAGTCTCTCTCCAGGCTGCCAGGCCCCCTAAGCCGCCCTTACCTTGAAGAAGAGAGATTGCCAGGATGAGGCTGGCCAGACGCTTCCCCTGCTCCATGTCGGTCTTTGTCCTTCTCCCGCAGAAGCACTGAGCAACCGCTAGCAGCCAGCCAGCCTGCGCAGTACTCGCCTGGCTCCACCCAGTACCCTTCAGGCTGGGGCCCCTGTGAGAAGGCAGGAACCCAGAGCCTCCGCCCTCAGCTTCAAGTGTGGTCAGCTGGGGCTCGGCAGGCTGCAGGTGCAGTTGTCCTTGCTCTTCCGTTAAGGAGTGAAGGGTGGGAGGGCGCGTGGAGGGAGAGAGAGCTGGATTCCCATGGCAGAGACTCGGGCTTGCACAGAGAACAAACAGCCTTGGATGCTGGGTAGTCAATGGCCTGGGCCTGTTTCTTCATGAGGGAAATAAACATTGCTGACACCATTTGTTGCTGGTATCTTAGCCAGTTGTTGCTTGTTGCTGGTTGTTGCTGGAACTAACGAATAAAGGTGGGAACTCTTGGGTGCTCAGGGCTGGAGCTCTGACAAGAGAGCCACTTCACTCCGGGTCCTCATACAGGAATGTTTTACTGTCCTTTTGAGATGAGATCATCAAAGAAGTATCTGCTTGGAAGGAAATAGATGGGACAATTCCAACAAGACAGCCAAGCATTGCCAAGGACAGGGACTGAGCTGAGTTTCTGAGATCTCAGGCCCTCTCTCTCCCAGCCAGTCAGTCAGCGAGTCAATAAAAATGGATGGAACTCTCGTCATGTGCCAGGCACAAGCCAGGTGTTGGAAACACAGAAACAAGTGAGACATACATGATCTCTGCCCTCAGGTAAGTTATAGTTTAACTACGACAGTGTGGTTTCAGAACCCCACAGGCCACGGGGCAGGGGTGGGAGTGGGGAGGGGAGTACATTTGTCTCTTGGGAAGGCTCAACTCTGCCTACAAGTCAGTCATATTGTTATTAATAACTATTTCTCACTGAACACATATGATGTGTCTAGTATCATGCAAACATCGTGTTCAAATCCTTATCACAAATGAAGAATACATCAGAGCGCATCAACAGCAGATTAGAGGAAATAGATGATTGAGTCAATGATTTGGAAGACAAGGTGGCAGAGCCCTGCTGATATGTCTTAGTTGGTTGAGCATCATCCCATGTATCAAGAGGTCCCTGGTTTGATTCAGGGCACATGTCCAAGTTGATGGTTCGATCCCTAGTAGGGAGCGTGCAGGAGGAAGCCAGTTCATGTTTCTCTCTCATCGATGCTTCTGTCTCTTTCCTGCTCCCTTCCTCTCTCTAAAAAATAAATAAATAAATAAAAATAAATAAAACTTACTAAAATAAAAAAGGCAGTGGAAAACACCCAATCAGAACAGCAAAAAGAAGAAAAAAAAAGGAAATAGTTTAAAGGACCTTTGGGACAACATAAAGTGTAACAACATTCACATCATAGGGGTAGCAGAAGAAGGAGAGAATGAGCAAGGGATTAAAAATCTATTTAAGAAATAATGATGGCCTAGCCTGTTTACTCAGTGGTTAGAACATTGGTGCTCACACTGAAGGTCACGGGTTCAATTCTGGTCAAGGCCACATACCTGATCCCCGGCCTTAGTTGGGGCCTGTGCAGGAGGCAATCAATCGATGTGTCTCTTTCACATCGATGTTTCTCTCTCTGCCTCTCCCTCTTCCTTCTACTCTCTCTAAAAATCAATGGAAAAAAATATCCTCAGATGAACATTAACAAAAAACAAAACAAAACAAAACAAAAAGAAATAATGATGAAAAACTTCCCTAACCTGTGGAAGAAAATAGACATACAAGTGCAGGAAGTGCAGAGAGTCCCAAACAAGATGAACCGAAAGAGGCCCACACCAAAACATGTCATAATTTAAATGCCAAAGGTTAAAGACAAAGACATAATCTCAAAAACAGCAAGAGAAAAGCAGTTAGTTACCTACAAGGGAACGCCCATAAGACTGCCAGCTAATTTCTCAACAGAAACTTTGCAGGCAGAGGGTTTGGCAAAAAATATTCAAAGTTATGAAAAGCAAGGTTCTGCCCAGCAAGGTTATTGTTTAGAATCAAAGTTCAGACGAAGAGCTTCTGCTGGCCTTGTAGACTCTGCTGACCTGGAGCCACTCGTGCCCAGCCATGGTGAACCCCACCGTGTCTTCGACATCACCGTGCGTGGGAGCCTGGGCCACGTCTCCTTCGAGCTATTTGGAGACAAAGTTCCAAAGACAGCAGAGAACTCTCGTGCTCTGAGCACTGGGGAGAAAGGACCTGTTTATAAAGGTTCCTGCTTGCACAGAATGATTCCAGGATTTATGTGCCAGGTGGTGACCTCACACGCCATGATGGCACAGGCGGCGAGTCCATCCGTGGGGAGAAACTTGAGGATGAGAACTTCATCCTGAGGCATGTGGGTCCTGGCATCTTGCCCATGGCGAATGCTGGACCTGACACAAACGGCTCCCAGTTCTTCTCTGCACAGCCAAGGCCGAGTGTGTGTGTGTGGGGGGGTGGGGGGGTGAAGGGGGGTGGGGTGGGGGGTGGAAGCATGTGGTCAGCATGGATATTGTGGCAGCCATGAGCGATTTGGGTTCAGCAATGGCAAGACCAGTAAGATGATCACCATTGCTGACTGTGGACAACCTTAATAAATTTGACTTGTGTGTTTTCTTTAAAATATATTTTTATTGATTTCAGAGAGGAAGGGAGAGGGAGAGATAGAAACATCAATAATGAGAGAGAATCATTGATTGGTTGTCTCGGCATGCCCCCTACAGGGGGCAGAGCCTGCAACCAGGGCATGTGCCCTTCACCAGAATCAAACCCCAGACCCTTCAGTCCATAGGCCAACGCTCTATCCACTGAGCCAAACCGGCTAGGGATGACTTGTGTTTGTTTTATCTTAACTACCAGACCATTCCTTCTGTAGCTCAGGAGAGCTGTAACCTTCATGCTCTCACCACAGTTCACTGGGTTCCATATTTCCTTACCTTCTCTAAGTCTAGCTGGATTGTAGAGTTAAGTTTATGATTGTGAAATAAAAACTAAACAACAACAATAGAACTTTCCAGATAAGAAAAAGCTAAAGGAGTTTATCACCACCAAACCAGTACTACAAGAAATGTTAAAGGGTCTTCTTTAAAAAGAAGTAGGAAAAAATAAAAAATATGAATAAGAAAATATTGCAAAGAAAAAATGTCTCAATGACAGAGACAAACACATAATACAGTCAGTGGATCAACCAACACTAAAGCTAGTACAAAGCTTAAAAGGCAGAAGTGGAAGATCAGCCCTGGCTGGTTTGGCTCAGTGAATAGAGTGTTGGCCTGAGGTCTGAAGGGTCCCCGGTTTGATTTCGGTCAAGGGCACATGCCCAGGTTGTGGGATTGATCCCCAGTAGGGGGCGTGCAGGAGGCAGCCGATCAATGATTCTCTCTCATCATTGATGTTTTTATCTTTCTTTCTCCCTTCCTCTCTGAAATCAATAAAAATATTTTAAAAAGTGGGAAGATTATGTGTAATTACAACAGTAAATTAAAGGATACACACAAACACACAAAAAAACCTGATAACATCATAAATATGAAGGGGGTGAGTAAAAATGATAGTGATTTTAGAAAGTGTTTGAACTTAAGCGACCATCCACTTAACATGGACTGCTGTAAACATGGCTTGGTATATACGAAACACATGGAAACCATAAACTGAAAAATCTACAAGAGATACACAGGAAACAAGATACAACACTACAGAAAGTCAACATGTGCAAGAGGCCTGGGGTGGGGGGCGGGGCGGGCTAGAAGAGGTCAATGGGGGAAAATGGGGACATATGTAATATTTTCAACAATAAAGATGAAAAAAATACAAGAGAAGGGAGCAAGAGAATAAGAGAGGAACAGAGAACTATAAAAACAGTCAGAAAACAATGGATAAGATGGCAATAACTGCTTCCCATGAAAAAGCATGAAATCTTACTATTTACAACAACATGGATGGACCTCGAGGGTATTGTCCTGGCTGCAGTGAGTCAGACCGAGAGGGACAAGTGCCACATGGTCTCACTTAGATGTGGAATCTCAAAAGCAGAATACACAGCCCTGACCAGCGAGCCGCAGTTGGTTGGAGCGTTGTCCTCGCACTGGAAGGCTTTGGGTTCGATTCCCGGTCAGAACACATACCTAGGCTGTGGGTTTGATACCCGGTCAGGGGTGCATATGGGAGGCATTGATATCTCTCTCATATCAATGTGTTTTTTTTTTTTCTCTCTCTCTCTTTCCCTCCTCCCTCTCTAAAATCAATAAAAAAGTAGGATAAACAAACAAACTCATAGATACAGAAACAAACTGATGATTGTCAGATGGGTGAGGGGTGGAGGGCTGGATGAGATAGGCACAGAAATAAAGAAATACAAATTGAGCCCGGCCCACATGGCTCAGTGGTTGAGTGTCGACCTATGAACCAGGAAGTCATGGTTCAATTCCTGGTCCAGGCACATGCCCGGGCTGAGGGCTTGATCCCCAGTGTGGGGTGTGCAGGAGGCAGCCGATCAATGATTCTCTCTCATCATCTATCTTTCTCTCCTTCTCCCTTCCACTCTGAAATCAATTAAAAAATATATATATAAAAGTACAAGTTGGCAGTTACAAGATAGTCACAGGGATGTAAAGTACAGCATAGGGAATATAATCAATAATATTGCAATAACTATGTAGTAACTGTGCCAGGAGAGTGCAGGACGCACCAGGGCAGGGGTCACTTGGTAAGTTATATACACATGTAGCCACTCTCTGTGCACCGGAAGCTGGTACAGCATTGAATGCCAATTGTAATTAAAAATAGAGGAGAAGTAGGGAGCCAAGCCAAGCCTTATGGTGATACCGAGGGCACTGGACTCTCAAAATTCCACCACTGGCCCAGAGGGGAGGCAGTATTGGAGCTGGGATTTGAATCTCTGGGGGGACGGGGTGCTCCGAAGCCCAACCTCCTGCAGGTAAGCACGTGGTTTGCTGTCCCAGGCTGCTCGAAGAAGACTGGGCAGGATCCCACGAGAGACCAGGCAAGTTCTCGTTTTTCTTCAATGACCCAGGAAAGGACTATCCTCAACCTCCTTCTACTTCCCAGAAATCAGGCAACCTTCCCCATGTTCTCTGCTGCCTCTTTCACTCCACCCCTATGCTTCCTGTGCAGAGAGCAACTTGCACCTGCTTCCTTCCCCCACCACCTCCCATCCCACCTCCCTCCCCACCGGAAGCCGGCGCACCCGCACCCACCACCTCCCATCCTCCAGGCAGAGAGCAAACAAGGCGTCTTCTGGTGCCTCCCCACCCGCCCCTCTTTCTGGCCTGCGAGTCAGCAGGGAGGGCGGCTCTCCCCGTGGCGGGAGCCCTGGGCCGGTCTAGCTCCTGCTGAATTCTGTTCAGAGATGGCGCGCAGCAGGTTTCTGGCAGGCCTGGCGCTGGCCACCCTTCTCTCCCACGGTAAGGCTTGTCCAGGGGCGGGGCGGCACCTGCGGGAAGAGACCGAGGGGGACATTACACCTGGAGCGAGGCGGTGACAGTCCTTGGTGCTGGCTCTCAGGCACGCAGGGCTGCCCAGGAGGGAGCGCTGGATGGGGCGCCGGGTCTGCGAAATGGGCTCTTGGCTTTGACCCGCTCCAGCGAAGGCTTCATCTTGGCCTTGAGTGTCTCCCCGAAGGCCCCAGGCCGGAGGTGTGTAGGGAATGTTGGTGTGTGTGCCTGAGACGGGCGACAATGGCAGCACTGCTCCTCTAGGATCCAGGCCTCTTGTCAGGAGGCCACCGTTAGGCCACCTCCGGGGCCGTGGCCCAGCACCCCGGGGGAATGCTTGAAGAGATGAGCTAGCTTTAGGAGGAGCAGAAGGGAGGGCAGGTTTGGGGAAAGAGCGACCAACCCATCTTGTTGGCCTGGTTCCTGTCCCAGGGCCCCCTCAGTCCCAGGTGACCTGGGATTAGCTGCTTAGGGACACCCAGCACTTTCAGCGGAAACAGCCCCAAGCAGGACATGCGTGTCGGCCATGGAGCATCTGAGGCACCTTCTCCCTGAGTGCACACACACGGGTTCTTGACCTGCTGTGGAGGCACTGGGTTTTCTAGACGGTGCTCTTGTATCCAAACCGGTAGCTGAGCGCGCAGCTCAGGGAGAATGTAGCTCCCACGCTCCCTGGGATTGGGGGCACCGATGCCAGTGCCTCTGTGGACTGGAGATGCTCTCGCCAAAGCAACGCAGTGTTTCTAGAAGGTGCTGTGCGTGCCTCCAGCCCTAACTCCCCACAGGACTTGCCTTGTGTGGAGCCCCAAGAGGAGATTTGATACATCTTCCTTTCCGTCCTTCTCCCCTTCAGCGAGGGTGGAACAACTAAAACTCTTTACCTGGGATTTGCCCTGGGTTCCCTGCTGGACCCGGGGCTGGTCTCACCCCCACCATCTCGCTTACTGTTGGGGTGAGGAAAGGGGAGAGAGAGGGGAGAAGCTGAAGTGGGAGCGTTGTAGGTTGGCTGGGGAGTAGAATTGGAAGTTTTCCTGGAGGGAAAATGCAGGCATCTCCAAGCAAGGAGCCTCTGCTTTTTCATGCCTCCTGGGTGCTTTCCTGGGCTCTGCTACCCTCCTGCTGCCCTTTATTCTATTTTTGAATTTATCGCTATTGTTGAAAGTATTGCAGATGTTACCTCCCTCTCCAGGCCTTCACCACCCTATTGTCTGTGTCCCTAGGTTATGCATATGAGTTCTTTAGTAACTGTCTCCCCCCACGCCCCTCCCCTCTGAGATTCATCCGTCTGCTCCCCTCCAACTTCGAATCAGTGGTCTGGATTCATTTCCAGGAAGGTCCTCAGATGAACCCATTTCTAGGGTTCCTCCTTTACTCTTTGTCCATCGGGGCCTACCCTCACGTGGGCCGCATCTTTGTGTCCTTCCTGGCCCCTGAGGTTCATGGGCAGCCTCCTGAAGCCTTTCTCCTGTGACCTCTCTCTTGCAAGAAACCATCAATTAGACTTGAATAGCGGTCTTTCTTAAGTATGAGCCTCAGCAGAACACGGGGTCTGGGGCAGATCAAAGAGGTGGCTCCAATCACAGTATTTTTTCCCCTTAGTGAGCCCCTTCCAGGAATTCGTGGAGGAATTTGAGGACAAAGTGGTTTTGAATTGCACCGGCATCATCACCCGGCTAGAGGGAACGATGGGGATCGAGTTACAGGACAATCACAGTCTGGACTTGGGAAAACGCGTCCTGGACCCGCGGGGAGTGTACCTGTGCAATGAGACGAAGGAAGAAGGCACCACCATATACACCCTGCAAGTATATTATCGAAGTGCGTGCCTTTGGGTTGGCATGGATGGGGCTCTGGATGTGAGAACTTTCTAGCTGGGGGGCGGGGGGCCCGTGGTGAACCAATCTGTTTTCTAAACAAACTGGGGCTCCTCTTATGATGGTAGGAGCCAGATTCTCAGGCCCTCAGAGCTGGAGAGAACTTATCTAAGGAAGAAAGAGCAGTAGGAGCCTTGTGACCCCAGCAGTAGGGCTTTGTTGGGAGAGCGGCTTGGCCTTTGCCTTGTTTAATTTCCTATAAAGCTGACTACTGTGGGCCCTGCTCAGGGATGCGTTGGGAGGAGGAGTAGAGGTGGATATAGCAAGGCCACCCGCAGGCCTTTCTCCAAGGGTCTTAAGTTCAGGTCTTAACTGGAGAGAGCCTGGGGCTGCCCCAGGAGGCAGAGGTGGCTTCCTGGTCTTGAAAGGCCCCCCCATTCCTCTCCCCCCCCAGTGTGCCAGAACTGCGTGGAGCTGGACCCCACCACCCTGGCCGGCATCATCGTCACTGATGTCATCGCCACCCTGCTCCTTGCTTTGGGAGTCTACTGCTTTGCTGGACACGAGACTGGAAGGCTGCCCAGGGGTAAGTGGGAGGGACAGAGAGAGAGAGAGAGAGAGAGAGAGAGAGAGTGTGTGTGTGTGTGTGTGTGTTGTGGGGGTGCCCCTGCCTAGCAGTGGGGCTGGAGTGGGTTGTTTCTCACCTGGGATCACTCTCCTAAGGACGTTTACAGCTGCTATGGAAGGACTTGGGGGCCCATGTTGCTCACGCAGCCTTCCGAGCTGTGACCGCCTGCAGCTCCCCTGCAGCGTCCACAGGGTCTCACAGCTCACCCTCCCAGGCCTGTCTAACTCGCTTTCCTGGCTCTTCTAGCTGCTGACACTCAGGCTCTACTGAGGAACGACCAGCTCTACCAGGTGAGCCCTGACGGAGAGACGGGATGGGAGGAGGGGGGAGTGGCGATGCAGAAGCTGGCCCTGGGGTGACGTGCGTGTATGAAGGGTCCCAGTGGGAGTTTACTGGGGCTGGGGTCTGGAAAGGCCAGGCACCAGCTCTCAGCGGCCGGCTGGGGCCCCCGGGGGAGCCCGGCCCCTGCCCCTTCTCCTCTCTTAGCCCCTCAGAGACCGGAACGATGCTCAGTACAGTCACCTTGGTGAGAGCTGGCCTCGGAGCAGGTGAACCTGAGACTGACGGAGCACCAGCTGCCGACGGTCCCTTCTCTTCCTGCTCAGCCAATGAAGATGTCTTCTTGCACGCGGCAGCTCCTGCGCTTTTCAAAGCTCCCGGGCCAGGCCTCGGAGCCGTGCTGACTTGGCAGGGTCCTTGCCCTCCCTGCCCACGTGTATTCTCTCTTCATTGCTTTCCTGCCTTTGACCCCCATGGACCCAATGATGGGCAATTTCTCATCACAGCTTGGCTCATGGTGCTTCTGACCTGGTGGGCTCCTGGGGGCAGGGTCTGCCCACCACGCCCCCAGCCTCTTGCTGCCTCCAGGCGGCCCGGCAGCACTTCCTGAGCTTTGGCTCCCTGGCCACAGCTGAGGCGGCTGCTAGTTCGGGGACCCAGCCGCACACAAGTTTCCATGACGTCATGAGCGCAGGTGGCAGAGACATCAAGGGCCCTGGGACTCACTTCTTGTCAAAGGACATGCATGTGGGAACGTCCCTCTCCTGCTGAGGGACTGGCCGTGGTGTTATGAGCTTTGTGAAGCCACTAGCTGTGAGGAGGTCTCAGCCCAGGCCCCCTTCAGTACCCATTCACCTTCCTTCCCCCAAGAAGCCTGGCCCTGGCCCCTACCCTGCCACTGGCAGCAGAAGCCCTTTGTCAATGAAAGCACACCATCCCTCTCCACTCAGTTGCAAAACTGGAGCTTGAGACTGGGTGGGGGTTTAGGATGTTTTCTTTTTTGGGGTGGTTGTTAATCCTCACCTGAGGATATTTTCCCATTGATATTTAGAGAGAGAGAAAGAGAGGGGGAGAGACACACACAGAGAGAAACATCAATTGAGAGAGACACATTGATTGGTTGCCTCCTGCACAACTACTGAGGAGCAGCAGTCATCGAGACTACAGCCTAGGTACATGCCCTTGACCGGAATTGAACCCAGGACCCTTCATTCTGCAGGCCGATGCGCCATCCACTGAGCCAAACCAGCCAGGGCTAGGATGTTTTCAGTAGGTGTCCTCTTCAGCCCTAGTTGGTTTGGCTCAGTGGATAAAGCGTCAGCCTGTGGACCGAAGGGTCCTGGGTTTGATTCCGGTCAAGGGCACATGCCTGGTTGTGGCCTTGATCTGCAGGATGCAGTTGATCAATGAGTCTCTCTCATCATTGATGTTTCTATCTCTCTCTCCCTCTCTGAAATCAAATATATATATATCTCCTCTTTAGCTGGTGGGTTAGTGGTGGTTCTGAAACCTTGGGAGCCTAAGGGACTTATTGCGAATATAGACATTTGGGCCCAGCCAGTGTGACTCAGTGGTTGAGTGTTGACCTATGAACCAGGAGGTCATGGTTCAATTCCCCATCAGAGCACGTTTGATCCCCAGTATGGGGTGTGCAGGAAGCAGCCGATCAAAGATTCTCTCTAATCATTGATGTTTCTATCTCTCGCTCCCTCTCCCTTCCTCTCTGAAATCAATAAATATATATTTTAAAAATTTATTTTTATTGATTTCAGAGAGTAAGGGAGAGGGAGAGGGAGGGGGAGGGAGAGAGAGAGAGAGAGAGAGAGAGAGAGAGACTAACTTCATTGGTCTGGGGCATTCGGACTTAAGGTGGTTTCAGTGGGAAGCCAGGGTGAGAAGCACTGCCCTCCTGAGCACTTCGGGAGTCTTGCGTCCTTTCGGCTCTTGCTGTGTGTGTGCCTTGAAAAAGCAGATGGACTGAGGTGAGCTGACTGACTGTATTTAAACTGTGAGGTGTGGTAAGTTCTGGCATATACACACGCTTGTGAAACGTGGCTGCAGTCAAGATAATGCACCTCTCCCACAGCCCAGAGCGCCCTGTGCCCCCATGCACGGCATCCCGCCTCCTGCCTCTCCCCCGCCCCGGCCGCCACGGGTCTGCCTGCTGTCACAGAGGTTGGCTACATTTCCCAGGTGACATGGATGCAATACTGTATGACAGGTGCTCCTTTTGGTCTGGCTTCTCAGACTCAGGAATGATTTGGAGATTCATGCCTCTTGTTGCCGCCATCACGCTTCTGCCTTGCTTATTGCTCAGCAGCGTTCCCTGTGCGGACATGCATGGCGGCTGCCTGTTCGACGGTTGCTAGTCTTTTGGGTTGTTTCCTGGTTTGGGCTGTTACACATAACGCTGCTGTGAACATTTACATATATGTCATTGTGTGGACCTGTGCTTTTATTTCTGTTGGATAAATACTCAGAAGGGCTATGGCTGGGATACACTTTAAAAAAATCTTTATTGATTTCAGAGAGGAAGGGAGAAGGAGAGAGAGATAGAAACATCAAAGATGAGAGAGAATCATCGACCGGCTGCCTCCTGCTCGCCCCACACTGGGGATTGAATCCGAAACCTGGGCATTTGCCCTGACCAGGAATCGAACCATGACTTCCTGTTTTATAGGTTGATGCTCAACCACTGAGCCACACGAGCCAGGCTGGGATAAATTTTTAAAGAAAGTAGTATGGCTATTCTTGTGCCTTTGCACTCCCATACAAAGTGGCTTCTCAAATTCTGACTACAAAGTGCCTGATGGGATTTTGATTATGATTGCATTGCATTTATAGACAATTGGGAAGAATTGACATCTTAATAATAATGAGTCTTCCAAGCCATGAACGTGTCTTTTGTCAGATTTATCCTTAAAGTATTTTATATTTTTTGATGTTATTGTATATGATATTTTAAACATTGAACTGTCCAGTTGTTTGTTGGTGTATATAGAAATACAGTTGCTTTTGGTATGCAGTATTGATCTTGTACTCTGAATACTTCTTAAACCCAATTACTAATTCTAGTAGCTTTTTGTAGATCCCATTAGATCAGCGGTCCTCAACCTGTGGGTCGAGACCCCTTTGGGGGTCGAACGACCCTTTCACAGGGGTCGCCTAAGACCATCGGAAAACACATATATAATTACATATTGTTTTTGTGATTAATCACTATGCTTTAATCAAGTTCAATTTGTAACAATGAAATTGGGGGTCACCACAACACGAGGAACTGTATTAAAGGGTCGCAGCATTAGGAAGGTTGAGAACCACTGCACTAGATATTCTACATAGATGACCATGTTGCTTGTGAATAAAGACAGTTTAACATTTCCATGTCCAATGTGGATGTTTTATTTCAGCTCCTTGCACTGGCTACGGCCATGTACAATGTTGCATGGAAGTGGAGGGAGGACATTCTTGCCTTATTTGTGATGTTAGCGGAAAGCGTGGTCTTCATCATTAAGTATGAGTTGGCTGTAGGTTTTTCTTAGATGCCCTTTGACAAGTTGAGAACATTCCCTTCTCTTCCTAGTTTGTTGGGAATTTTTAGTGAAAATCGTTGTATTGTCAAGTGCTTCTTCAGCATCCATTGAGATGTTTATATGGTTTTACTTTACTGAAAAAGTAAAAGCATATAAATTATAAATTACATCAGTGGCATGATCTGTTAAACCAACCCTGCATTCCTGAAATAAACTGTACTTGATCATTGTGATATTTCTTTTAATATATTATTAGATTAAACTTACCAAAATTTTGTGAAAAAATTTGCATTTATTCATAAGGAATATTGGTTTTCAGTTTTCTTGTAATGTTTTTGTCTGGTTTTGGCATAAGGGTATATTAGTCAGGGTTCTCCACAGAAATAGAACCAATATATATATATCCTATTAGAGAGAGAGAGGGATGAAAGAGAGAGAGATTTATTTTAAGGAGTTGGCTCATGCAAGTGTGAAGGCTGACAAGTCCAAAATCTACAGGTGGTCGGCAGGTGGGTAGGATGGAGACCCAGGGAAGAGCTGATGTGGCATCTTGGGTCCAAAGGTAGTCTGGAGACAGAGAGAGTTCCCTTTTCCTCAGAGGACCTCAGTCTGTTTTTTCTTAAGGCCTTCAACTGATGGGATGAGGCTCACTCACATTATGGAGAGTAACCTGCTTTAATCAAAGTCTATGCATGTAATGTCAATCTCAACTAAAAAATACTTTCACAATAATATCCAGATATGCTTGGCCAAATATCAGAGTAGCATGGCTCAGCTTGACACTTAAAATGAACCATTATGCAAGATGAATTTGGTCTCCATAGAATGAGTTGAAAGTATTTCCTCTTCAATTTTCTGGAGGAGTATGTATAGAATTGGCTTTATTTCTCTCTTAAATTCTGGGTAGATTTCACCAATGAAATCATGTTGGCTGGAGTTTTCTTTGTGGAAAAGTTTTTAAGTATAAATTAAATTTATTTAATAGCTAAAGGGCTCTTTGGGCCCTGCCGGCGTGGCTCAGTGGTTGAGCGTGGACCTATAAACCAGGAGGTCGTGGTTAGAGTCCCCGTCAGGGCACATGCCCTGGATGCGGGCTTGAGCCCCAATAGGGGCATACAGGAGGCAGCAGATCAATGATTCTCTCATCATTGATGTTTCTATCTCTCTTTTCCTCTCCCTTCCTCTCTGAAATCAATAAAAATATATTAAAAAATAAATAAAGTGCTCTTTGGGTTATCTATTTTCTCTTTAGTGAGCGGAGTGTCTTCTCCTTTCCTTCACAGTCTATCCACCCTTCCCTCTAAGGCCCAGATCCCGTCTCTCATGCATGTTGCTTCCCCACCACCTCAGCTTTCTCAGTCCCTCCTTAGAACACCGGGCACACGGTCTGGGGTACTCATGGGCGCTCAATCACATTTGCTCTCCTGTGGCTGTTGAACTTCCTGCATGTGTGGGCACGGTTATGTGACTGCAAGCTCCCTGAAGATGGGAACCGTTTGTCCCCTGAGCCTCAGCACAGTGCTGGTCTGCCTGTGGTTAGAAAAGCACTCTCGCCCTAACTGGTTTTGCTCAGTGGATAGAGCATCGGCCTGCGGACTGAAGGGTCCTGGGTTTGATTCTGGTCAGGCCACATGCTGGCTCGATCCTCAGTAGGGGGCGTGCAGGAGACAGCCGATCAATGATTCTCATTACTGATGTTTCTCTCTCTCCCTTCTCCCTTCCTCTCTGAAATCAATAAAAATATATTTTTAAAAAAGAAAAAAGAAAGCACTTGCTGAAGGAAAACCTAAATGACTGCACACAGCTCTTAAGTCGGGGAGCCAGAGAGCATTCTCGATAACCACACTAGCCCCGGGGAACTACTCAGAGTTTTGGAGTCAGACGGCCCTGCACCTCATTCTGGCTCTCTTCTCACTAACACACCACCTCACAGCTTACCTCTCTTAGCCCATATCTTCATCTGTAAAACAAGGACAACAACATGCACCCTGTCTGGTTGTCATGAGGATTAGATGGGGTAAATGTGTTGTAATGTACCCGCGGGTAAGTACTCAGGATGCAAGACCAAATTAATGAGTCATTTAATAAGCTGGCGACTGAGAGGGAGTTATGGCTCCAAATCTCCCAGTCCCAAAATGGTGACAACATCAGGCTTATATAGGCAAATATTACAAAGGTATCAATTACATCTTTGGGTTTGGAATGAGGAACCTGGTTTGCACAAAGCAGTTACAGAAGTGAAATTGAGCAAGTTAATTATCTATAAAGATTAATTATAGTTTTGGGTCTTCGGATCACTGAATCAACGGAAACACATTATCTGTGGCCACTGAGGCAATTTAGGGTAATTGTGCTGTCCTGGTTCCCAGGTACAGAAGAATGTGCTTCGATAACCAGTAAGATCACAAATAATGGGATATTCAAACCACCAACAATGGAGTATTCAATCGATTGGGATAGCATACATAAGTTCAGAAAATCAAAGTAACTTTTCTATTGTTTTAGCAAGCAAATAAGGACAGAAGCCAAACAGCAGGGTTAAAGTTAAACTGCAGTTTCTACCTGAGATGATTGCTACCAGACTTCAAATGGAGTGAAGTGCTAAGACAATTTCTAGAGCACAGCATATGCTCACTAAATGGTCACTGTTATTGCTCTTATCATGCTGAGCCACACCTCACCTTGACTGGGCACCATCACATATACCCGGGAAGAGACAGCCACCCCGGGCCAGCCTCGGCAGCTGGTGACGGTCACCCTCAGGGGACTCCTTGTGAGTGTAAGTGTTGAGAGTTGCAGTGGTTCTCAACCTGTGGGTCGCGACCATCAGAAAACACATATAGCATATCAGATATTTACATTACGATTCATAACAGTAGCAAAATTACAGTTATGAAGTAGCAACGAAAATAATTTTATGGTTGGGGGTCACCCCAACATGAGGAACTGTATTAAAGGGTCGCGGCATTAGGAAGGTTGAGAACCACTGGTTAGAGGGATTATCAATAGATGCAGAAAAAGCATTTGACAAAATCCCACACCCACTTTTGATAAAAACTCTCAGCAAAGTGGAAATAGAGGGAGCACATCTCAACATGATAAAGGCCATAGATGACAAACCTACAGCGAGCATCATACTCAATGGGCAAAAATTAAAACCATTTCCCCTAAGACCAGGAACAATACAGGGATGTCTGCTTTCACCACTCCCGTTCAACATAGTACAGGAAGTCCTAGCCACAGTGATCAGACAAGAAGAGATAAAAGGCATCCAAACTGGAAAGGAGGAAGTAAAACTCTCATTATTCACAGATGACATGATATTGTACATAGAAAACCCTAAAGATTCCACCAAAAAACTACTAGATTTAATAATGAATTTGGCAAAGTAGCAGGAGAGTTTAGAGGGAAAGAAGCAGCGTTTCAACAGGGCCCGTCACATAGAAGCTGCGGTCACAAGCCCAAGGCTGAGTGTGCACCACTGTTAACATAAAAAACATTCAAACCTGGAAAGAATATTGTGAGTTTATTTGAGCCAAACTGTCGACAATTGCTGGGAAGTAGTATCTCAATGGATTGGGATAGTGCTCCAGAGAATGGCGGGTTTTCCTCTGTTTTTATACATTGCAATCAAAGGAGGAGACGTAGGTGGGTCACATGAAATCCATTGGTGATAGGCTAGAGAGGCGGGAGAAAGCAAAGGGGGAAACCTCTGGGATTGGACAAAAAGTGAAATGATGGACACATACTTAGGTGGGTGCAGGATAGCCAACAGTCAGCAATTCACATGATAACAATGAAGGAATTTGTGGTCTCTGTCCTGGCGCCCAGGCACATTAGGTTGTGCCCCAAGGGGTCTGGAAAAAGGGAAGTTAGAAGTTACTCAGACATTTCAAGGGTATGTTATTATAGATGCAAAAAGACAGACAGGCTCAGTGAAGGTAAAGGTTGACATTGTCAGGGAAGAAACCAGCCTAGGACGTAACTGCCCACCATCACTGCCTTTAGTTAAAGTTTATTTCAGACCATCCTTTGCGGTGACTTTAGGTCTCTGAGTTTGCAAGCCCGCCATGCAGGCCTCCCCTGGGCTGTCAGGTCAGCACGTGGCCCCTTCCGTCCACACCCCCAGTGGCTTTTTCAGTCCTGGTCGCACACAAATAGCCCTGTGGTGACAGAGCTTTCTGAGTGCAGAGAGGGAGGGAGAGAGCTCGCTGGCTTGAGCTGGATTGAAACCCATGTCAGTGCTCAGCCTCTCTCCTCAAGCTGAGCCTGGGCCCCGGGAGGGGGAGGGGCCTCCCACACTGGCCTCAGGCTGCTGCAGCACCTCTCACCCTCACTGGTAGGCCCTCACTGGCAGGCGAGCAGCCCACATCCTGGCTCCGGCACCACAGCTGCTCTGGCTGCCGCCCTCACAGCCGCCCTCACAGTGAGAGAGTGAGGCTGCCCTCTCCCTTCCCTCCCCCTCTCCCTCCCCGCCGCTCCAGCTCTTTCTTTCCTTTTCTTTCATTTATGTAAACTTTTACCAACATTTAATAGAAATGTATCTGCCCATTTACAGTCAAATTAATCTTATAAACACCAGTTTAAAAAAATATATTTTATTGATTTTTTACAGAGAGGATGGGAGAGGGATAGAGAGTTAGAAACATCAATGAGAGAGAAACATCAATTGACTGAAACATTGATCGGCTGCCTCCTGCACACCTCCTACCGGGGATGTGCCCGCAACCAAGGTACATGCCCTTGACCAGAATCGAACCTGGGACCCTTCAGTCCGCAGGCTGGCGCTCTATCCACTGAGCCAAACCGGTTAGGGCTAAACACCAGTTTTTTAATCAACACTTTCTGGAATGCCTTTTGTAATTAAAAATAAGGTTTTGACATCAAACCGATTGTATTAAAGAAATTTTTCCTTCATAATTTGAAGGTGAAATAGAAATGTGCCCAGGTCTCCCCACAGACTCTGACATCCACTGCCAAGCCAGGTGTGGGTCACTGGGACGATCCCGGGTGGAGGGGTCACAGTGGTGGGGTCATCACAACAATCCCAGGTGGAGGTGGTCACAGTGGTGGGGTCACCGTGATGATTGTGGGTGGAGGCGGTCACAGTGATGGGGTCACCGGGATGATCCCGGGTGAAGGGGTCACAGTGGTGGGGTCACCGGATGATCCTGGGTGGAGGGGTCACAGTGGTGGGGTCACCGCGATGATCCCGTGGAGGGGTCACAGTGGTGAGGTCACCACGATGATCCCGGGTGGAGGGGTCACAGTGGTGGGGTCATCTTGATGATCCTGGGTGGAGGTGGTCACAGTGGTGGGGTCACCGGATGATCCTGGGTGGAGGGGTCACAGTGGTGGGGTCACCACGATGATCCCGGGTGGAGGGGTCACAGTGGTGGGGTCACCGGATGATCCTGGGTGGAGGGGTCACAGTGGTGGGGTCACCACGATGATCCCAGGTGGAGGGGTCACAGTGGTGGGGTCACCGCGATGATCCCGGGTGGAGTTGGTCACAGTGGTTGGGTCACCGGGACAGATGCCCGGGTGGAGGGGTCACAGTGGTGGGGTCACCGG